ATATATTATATATAATATATATATAATATAATATATTATACATTATATATATATATTATAATAAATAATATAATATATATATATAGATAAATTTAATATATACATCTATAATGATTCATATAATATAATGATTTGATTACTATCATAGTATGTACTATTAATAGTCAATATATAGGTAAATAATATATATAAATATATATTATAATATATATATTTTATATTATATATATATATATTATCAGTATATATAGGTATATATATATACTACTATAATTCATTATATTATATTATACCTAATATAGTATAAGTCTAAAACTGATCAACAGTAACCTGGATAATATACTACTCATAAATATCGATCATAATATAACCTATCATTATATACGTACAGTATACTGTATAATATATATATATATTATATATTATTTATAATATAATTTTACTATAATATATAATATATATTTAAATATTGATATTACTTAGTATTTATTAATATAATAAATAATAAATAATAAATATATATATATATATATAATATATATATATATATATATATATATATATATAGTATATATACTACTATATATATATATATATATATATATAGGGAGAGGTTCTAATAAAAACCTAGAGAACTAAAAACCAATCCTAACCCTACATTCTATTTCATCCAATGGCCTAGATTTCGATGGCAGAATTGTAAATATAGACAAATTTAATACACTGCATTAATGTGAAAAGGGTAAAATTGGAACAATTCATTGCATTAATGGTGACTGATTACATTGGAACAATGATACAAATTTAATACACGTCCTTTAATACTCTCTCTTACATTAATAGTGCTACATTCTTTAATACTCTCTCTCTCTAACTCACTTCCCGATCTCTGTAAATCTCACATGAAGAACACAACAACGCAATGAATCTGGATTCACTGAAGTGATCTTCAATCCAGATTCACTCCAACGAATTGAATCTGGATTCACTCCAATCGATTTGCTGCTCCACTGGATTTGTGAATCATTCTAACCATCCAAGCAGAATAAGAAACTTATGGTAAAAAACAAGCTATAAAATTTTATAACATGAAAAATTTTCACCTTTTACAGCAAAAAGTTATGATTTTTATGGTAAAAAACAAACACCTCACATAATTGAATCTGGATTCACTGCAGTGAATCGAGATTCACTGAAGTGAATCTAGATTCACTGAAGTGAATCTAGATTCACTCATGCGTTTATTGAAGTAAAAACAAGTTGGATTCACTGCAGTGAATCGAGATTCATTGTAGTGAATCGATATTCACTCATGCATTTATAGAACGTGTTTGATGATTTTAAGCAAAAAGTTATAATTTTTATGGTAAAAACAAACACCTCACATAACTGAATCTGGATTCACTGCAGTGAATTCAATTATTTAGGACAGCAAAAATCGGCGATTCACTGCAGTGAATCTCGATTCACTGCAGTGAATTCAATTATTTAGGACAGCAACTAAAACAAACCCCACAACTAAAATTCTGAACTTTAACCAATTTTAACAAAAAAACTAACATGATTGCAATTTCTAAAATATTTTAATAGAAACCCTAAAAAAGATTGCAAATTTTGAAAGATAATCCAACAAAACAAACAACCAAGATCGAGTATAAGAGAAACCCCAAGCTAAAACAAATCCTAGAACCAAGATCGCAACTTCAACAATTACCCTAAAAAGAAACCAAAATCAAATTGAAATTAAAGAAAAACGTGACGAACCGAGGGGGTGCTCGAGCTTGAAGGAACTCTTGGCCATGGATCCCCTCTTTCTATCATCCCCAATACATGACGAGAACAAAACCATGATCAGATCAAAAGAAAATAACACCTACCAAGAATCAAATCAAACTTAGAATATAACCTACCAAGAAAATATAACACCTACCAAGAAAATAACACCTACCAAGAGAGAGGGGGCTGGTTCAAGCTTTTGGGAAATGGAGGAGAGAGAGAGAGGAGAACGTGAGAGGAGAGTTGCATGGGAAAATGGAGAACTCAATAAGAAGCATTAATTACCTCTCTTTAGTGGGCTGTTTATTTTACCTAATTACCCTTATGCAGCTTTAATCTCAGCCATTGGATGAATCTAGATCCAATGGAGAGGATTGGTTTTTAGTTTTTAGGATAGTGAGGTTTGTATTTGAACCTCTCCCTATATATATAAGAGTATAAATATGTACATATATAAGTATATTTATATAATAGTATAAATACATATAAGAGTATAAATATATATTTAAGAGTATAATAGTATAAATAAAC